TCAATGTCCATATCTCAGCAAACCATTAAAAGATAATTTTAAAAATGCAAAACACAACCCAGTCAAAGGAACAGAACTAATCTCTGAAATAGATCCTAGGGAAATGGAAGTCTCCAAATTAGCTATATTTAGGAATATATGCCGGGCAGTGGTGGCACACACCTTTAATCTCAGCACTTGGGAGGCAGAGGCAGGCAGATATCTGAGTTCAAGGCCAGCCTGGTCTACAGAGTGAGTTCCAGGACAGCCAGGGCTACACAGAGAAGCCCTGACTTGAAAAACCAAAAAAAAAAAAAAAAGAAGAAATATATATGTATGTATATGTATATATATATGTATATATGTACATATATACATATACATATGTGTGCATGTGCATATAACAACAATTAATAAGTAAAAAAGCTATGATTTGAAAGAGACCAAGGAAGGGTATGTGGAAGGGCTTAGATGGGAGGAAAGAAAAGGGGGAAGTAATGTGATTGTATTATAATCTCAAAAAATAAGAGAAGTAGTAATTTTTTAAAAGAATTCAAAATGATCATTATCAGGACTGAGAATGCAGAAGTCAACAAAGGCAAGAAAATGTTGTAAACAGAAACAGACAATGTGTGTGTGTGTGTGTGTGTGTGCGTGTGTGTGTGTGTGTGTGTGTTCCCTAGAGGGAATTAATAGGAAGTAGGAAGTTGTTCTAAACAGAGGATAAGTCATTTGAGATTATGGAAATAAAGGGCAAAAAGGAAAAAGAGACCTGTGGCACCTGCCTGTAATCCCAGCTACTGGAGAGACTGGGGCAGGATGGCAAGTTCAAGACTTATCTCTGCTACAGAACAAGTTCAAGGCTCAGCTCATGAATTTAGTGAGGCACTGTCTCAAAACAAAAAGCTTAAAAAACAGTGCTTAGAATATAGCTCAGACATGTGTTGTCTAACATCTGTGAGGTCCTAGGTTCAATTCTCGTGCCATGCAAAAAGGAAAAGAATGAAGAAAATCTAAGAAATGTCTACCTTATCAAATGCACCAATATCTGCATTATAGAAAAATCAAAGAGAGACCTTGAAAGTCTAAATTGCTTTCAAATTTGAAGAAGTATGTATGTAAATTTGGTGAGTTTTAATAATTAATGGTTATATAGCTAATCAAATTGGACTGAGATGTAGCTCAGTGGTAGAGCACTTGGCTAACATTGAAAGACCCTGAGTTTGAATTGCAATAATAAAAAATAAATTAACTAGGGATCGAAGACATGCATGGAAGACAAGCACTCTACCAACCCAGCTACATACCAGCCACAAGTATCTGTTAGATGATTATTTACTATAATTTTTCTAGTAGTGTGGTTCTGATCAATAGCTTGTAAGGGCTTGATTTCCAGCTATTGGCACTATTGGAAGGTTTGTGACTCTTTAACTGAGGTTCAGCTCAGAGGAAGTGAAGTCATCAGATTTGTTGATATACCTGAAAAGTGATGATGAGACCTTAGTCCTTCCTTCTCTTTCTGCTCTAAGTTTATCAAGAGGTAAGCGGCTTTGCCCTATCACCCCTCCCCCTATGATGTATCCCTTTGTCAAAGGCCCAAGGAAAGGGGGATAGTGACCATAGACTGAACCCTCTAATCCCATGAGCCAAAAACAAATGTCTCTTTTCAGCTGACTCTCCTCTGGTATTTTATGACTCTGACAGGAAGATGAGCTGACACAGAACAAGACTGGGTCTGCTGAGGTTGTATACAGTATGACATACTCTATGAGGATTGACAATTTTTGCATTGGAATTTAGATTATTAAATTTGTAATTATTGAATGTTTCTTAACTGTGTTTTATATGAAAATGTGTCAAAGTCCAAATACATTTAGAGTTCTGTGGAATAAAATAGGAATGAAGGTAATTATGAATTAAAAATATTAAATAAAGACTCTTTCAAGCAGTGGGCAAAGAGTGACTCATCATCACTCTTTGACAGGGGTACTTCCATGAGCCTGCTGGTGAGTTATTTCTCACAGAACCTTGTAGATTAGAAAGGAGAGGGATAGGATATTCAAAGGGCTGAAAGAGACTACCAATCAGGTATGGTCTGCGATACAACTCTCCTTCAAGAATGTAATGACTTTCCTAGATAAGGCTGAGAGTTTGTTAGCATCAGACCTGCCAACAGATGCTAAGAGAGGCCCTTCAAGTTGACTGGGTAAGCTAGATAGTACCAGGAAGGTCAGCAAAGCTATGAAGCTGTACATACAGACATATATTCCCATAACATTCTAATGAATTTAACAGCCTTTAATTCAGACAAGTAACTTGAGAACAAACTGGGACAGGACTAGTTAGAGATGACTGATAAATGATAGCAGATGTTCCTGTACATCACAGGAGACTCTGGAAAGCCGCTTGGCTAAGACTCACACAAAGTTCTATCCTATATGTTAAAGTTACACTGCTGGCGTTGGAGGAGATGACAGGCGTTATGTATCAGACACGGCTGGAAAATAGGACAAAGGCAGCTTGTGATGCAGAATGTTCTCATTCCATAATAACATGAGTATCAACAAGATAAGTGGTGAACAGGAGCCGGTACACTATTCCTCATGTCCTACCACATTTGATTTCCATTATTTCAATGACCAGAGAAGTTAGTAGAAAATAAATGTTGAGAGTCCTCAGGTTCTCTGCCACTTATAAGGGCCAGGTAACCTGGGTTTGGAAAAAGACTCTGACAAAGAAAATGAGTAACAAGTCAGGATCAAGGAGAGACCATCTGAGAAATTTAAAAAGCATAGATTTAATTCTACATTAGAACCTGGACATTGGAAAAATATGTCCTCTCCAAAAGCAGGGTATCCTTTCCTGCAACCAGATGACTGACACCCTTTTTTCATATGGCTTGGTAATATATAAAACCTAATATTTTCTTATTTAGCACAGTTGTCATAGCTTGCACTATTCTAAAGGATTTTAAGTGTCAAGTTAGGCTCCAGTGTAGCGACTGACTATCCATAGGTCAGCCAGAGAGGCATTCTCCAAGGAAAACATATCTTCCACATCCAGAACAGCAAGAAGGGAGCATTCTCCATGGAGGTGGTTTCAAGCAGCATCGTAGAAGTTCATTCTGGGCTCAAATGTGTGGCAGCAACATGCTCTCTACCCAGAGTGAAACCAATTACATGAACAACCCCATCATTATGTAGAACATAATTGGCGTGACCCTGTCGGTATGTGTGTAGAATACAGATACCAGTGACTTTAAAAGTAGTGAGAGTGGCGATTCAAAATGTTGTTTCTACAAACTCTCCTAGGGACATAGGCATCACAGAAAATTTAAAATAAAGGCAAAACATCGACTTTCAATTTGTAGAATGATAATGCTTCCCTCTCTCACCGTCCCATGATCAGGAAGAGCAGAAGGAAAGAAATATTCTGAAAGTAGCGTTCTGTGTGGCTTGGTGTTGGCACTGAATGTGGAAAGGGAGATGACGTAAATTATGCAGACTGATTTTTTTTGACTGTTTATTGGTTCTTCGTGAATTTCACATCATATACCCCAATCCTATTCATCTATCTTCCCCTCTCCTCATACTCACTCTCCACCCTCGCAACTCCACCCCCAACAGAGAAAACATGCTATGTGGGACATTTATATGTCCCACAGTATGTACCCTTTTGTCCACATGTCTCTGTTGCAATTGTTCATTGCAATGACTCCTTGGTCTGGTTTGAGGCCTCTGGCTTCTGCTACTCTATCAATACTGGAACCTCACTGGGACTCCTCTTGGATATCCTGTTGTTGCCCTGTGTCATGGAGATCCTGTAGTATTGGATCTGTAGGACCAGCCCCTTCATGCACTCCAGCAGTTCATTGATGGGGTAGATGTTAGAGTGGGCCAAATCAAAGCTCTGGATCTTGGCCTGAGAGGTATCTGAGCTGGTCAGCCTGATGGCTTTCCCACTCTCATGCCTTCAGAACCAGTTCATCAGCATCCCTCGCTCCCAGGGCCAGCTCTACTCTGCTGCCTAGGCAAGGCGCTTGACCCACTTTCCTGAGTTTTGCAGTCGGTGAGGGACATGATGCTGGGGCCAGCTCTTCTGCCTGCCATAGATGGCAAGGGATGGGGGACAGGAGGGAAGGACAGTGTCTCTCCATTATCCATACCACTGCCCAGCAGATAAGAGGAGGCCCAGCTCTCCCACACCCATGCCCTCATGGCCGGCTCACCCACAACCCCCACATCCAGATACAGCTCTACTATGCTGCCTAGGCAAAGTGCAGGGCCTGCTCTCTTGAGTGCTGTAGCAGGTGAGGGGCAGGGGCAGGGCCAGCCCTCCCACCCTTATGACCTCAAGACCAGATCCCTTTCCTGCTGTATGTGGCAAGGGGTAAAGGAATATCATCTCTCTCTCATCCATGTCACTGCATGCCAGGCAAGTGGTGGGGACAGCTCACCCATGTCCCTATCACAGAGTCAGTTCTGTTATGCTGCCCTGATGTCCCAGGTGGCATCACTGGCTACTCACATCAGGCTGTTCCTCATTACCCTCAAGTCCTAGTTCTGCTTCTCTTCATTGTGCCCACATCCTTCTGTTTCTGTTTCTCTCCATCTCTCCACCACTTACTCCTCTTAGTAGCAGCTGGGATCTCTGGGTCCGGGATTGTCCCAGGAGTGCTATGCCCTGCTAGTGTATTAAGGCACTGAGAAGGGGTCATCTTGAACGTAGTCTGCCACCCACCCCCAGGCTTGTGTGATGCCTGACTGGTGTTCATCTCAGGCTAGCTCCCTGCCCAGGCCCCATGGCAATGATCTAGCGGTCATCTCAGGCTCACTCCTTGCATAATCTCCCCATGTGGCCGATGAACATGCAAGGGTCATCTGTCTCTGGCTCACTCCTGCTTAGGACCTTAGGCCCATGCGGGGTTCCTTCTAATATCTGCCCTGCTCCTGGTCCTGGAAGCCATTGGGGCCTGCATGGTGCCAGACTGGTGGTTATCTCAGGCTCACATTTTTTTAGGGAATGTTAGGCTACTAATCATTCAGATGTTCGTAGGTCAGAACACTGAGTGCAGACATAGCCTCTCTTCTCCCTGCCACCTACTGATGCTCATGTGACACAGCAGACACATCTGCAACACCTGCAACATCTGAAACTAATTTTTTTTTAAATTTTGCAAATGTCTGTCACTCTCTTGTAATTACTAAGCTCCTCCACAGACAATGCAGGGACTTCCTGGCCACACTTTGGTCTCATAATTCAACATTACAGTATTGTTTAAGAGCAAGCAGGAGTGCCACACTTTTATAAATCTGAGGCACGGATGCTGAGATGTCATGGAAGGACATGACCCTAATCCAGGCTAAAGCTTCCTTGAAGGCTAGTGAGGGAAAATACAAATGTTGCAAGCTTGGGTTTTTGCATGGAAGAATTTGGGGGCTGTTATGCTGAATGAAATATGCCAGATATGGAAGGACAAATACTGTATGTTTCTACTTACACGGGGCACTTGGGCAGTCGAGGTTAGAGACGGAGAGTGATGATGGTTGTCAGGGTACTGGACTAGTGGGGAACGGGGAATTCTAGTTAAGCAGATGGTGATGACGGTAACAATAGTTACTGCCAGCAGACATTTTTATAAGGAAAAGCTGTGGAGATGTAATATCTTTGGTGCCTTTGATGTTAACTGCAGCATGGTTCATAAAAGCTAAGTTACAGAATCAACGTAGGTGTCCATCAATAGAGGAACAGATAAAGAAACCGTGATATGTGTACACACTGGAATTCTTGTCTGCCATGTAGAAGAATGGATGATGTCCCTGGCAGGATGAAGCTTACGGTAATCACATTAAGTAAATTAAATTAGACTCTGAAAGACAAACGTATGTCTTCATATGTCTGGTATGTTTTCATTTATGATCCTAGATTTTTTTATAGAGAGCTATAAAATCAAATATGTATATATGACATGAAAGAAGACATAAAGCTGACTAGGAGAATAGACGTAACAGGAGAGGGAGGGAAATGAAAGGGGTGTGGCCGTGTGAAAGAACATGAATGCAAGACATACATGTCTGAAAAAGTTTAAAGTAAATTTAAGAGGAAAATATATGTATCCATATATATATATATATATGGATGTGTATGTATATATGTACACATATATATGCATACTATGTGTGTATAAATACACATCTATTATTTGGTTATAAAAATAATTAAAATGGTTAAGATGGTAAATCATATATTCTAATTTTTTAAAGATCTATTTTGTTTTAAATTATGTATAAGTGTGCAGGTCTGTGTGTGGGTTTGTGCATGTGAATGCAGGTGCCCATGGTTGTCAGAGGCATTGGGTTCCTTGGAGCTGGAGTTACAGGGGTTTGTGAGCTGCCTGACATGAGTCTAGGAACTAAATTCAGGACCTTTGCAAGAACATTATGCATTCTTAACTGCTGAGCCATCTCCCCAACTTTATCCTAATATTTCTCTAAGCTTTTAAAAAAAACATTGGCTCCAGACTTTGGCAAATGTGGCTTTTGGCTATGGGACTTAGAGAAGCATGTCCTACCTAAGCTGCCAGTCCCTTTGTGGAAAATGAGTTAGCCATGAGCACCTACGAGGACTGTGGGAACAATTAGAGCAGTCAGTGGACCCATTAAAGATGCAACATAGCCTGTACACAGCCTCAAGCGTAGGGCTTCAATGCCCCCGCTGGACATTAGGGCAGCAGGATATTTTTATACCAGAACTCAGCATCTGTCAGCTTGGAGCTGGTGGAGCCCCGCAGCATCTGATCCCTGGTATGATTTCCTCATCAGGACAGGTGTGAGACTTTCTCTTTGCCTCTGCTACACGTTACCAAAAGCTTAATCACTTCAAAGAACCCAAGTTGGTGTTCTCACAGTTATAGAGATTAAAAGACAAACAAGATGCTGAAAAGACTGAGTTCCTTCTGGAAGCATCAAAGGGACACTGCCTTTCTCAGCTCCTACGGGCTGCCTAGGTTCCTTGAGCATGGGCCCTTTCTTGTGTCACCTGAGCCTCTTGCCACCATCACCACACCTCCTGCCACTACCTCAGCCCCTCAGCCCTCTCCCTTATAAGGACGCTTGTGGCTATTTAGGGACTTCTACAAAGTGCTTCTCACCATGAAACAAACACATCCTCAGCTTCTGGGGTCAGAAGCTTAGCTGACTGCAGCAGACAGCTCTCCCCTTAGGAGACATCAGACAGACCCTGCTTGTACACCACTGAACTCCATGACAGTGATAAGGGACAATCATGTCGTAGGTTAGGCATCCTTGCTAATACATCTAGTGTAGTGAAACTATCTTAGACAATCTTTCACGACACATTCATCTTCACTGTTATCTTCACCTTCTTGGACTCTGCTTACTAACTGAGCCTTGCAGACTGCCTGCCTTGCACAGCATTATCTGCCCAATAGGGTATAATTGCATATTAAGTAGGGACACGCTTTCCATTTAATTGGGTGAGATAAGGAAGGAATTTTTATCTGTTTAGGACAGTGGTTCTCAACCTTCCTAAGGCTGCTACCCTTTAATATAGTTCTTCATGTTGTGGTGACCTCTAACCATAAAATTATTTTCATTGCCACTTTATAATTATAATTTTGCTACTGTTATGAATTATAATATAAACATCTGTGTTTTCCAATGGTCTTAGGTGACCCCTATAAAAGGGTCATTCAACCCACAAGTTGAGAACCTCTGGTTTAGAGCATTGGGTTCTCTGTCACTCAGCTGGCTCTGGTCTTGGCCATACAATTCCAGCCAGTTGCTGTAATCTTCTATTGTCCCCATCTATAAAGTAGAGATTATAGCATATATTCACTGAACTGGTCAGCTAGGGCCAGCAGAACAAAGGACCACGGGTGTGAGGCTGAACCAGCAGAAAGGTTTGGTTTGGTTTGGTTTGGTTTGATTTGGTTTGGTTTGGTTTGGTTTTTTTCCGTCACAGTTGGAAAGCTGAAAAGCTGAATCACAATCCTGAGGGGGTTGTTCCTTCTAAGGTCTTTCTCCTAGTTATAGCAATAGCCACCATATCTAGGCATCTTCGCCAAGTCTCCTTTTGGCTATCTTTGCATACTAAGCTCCATTTTTTCCAAAGATGCCAGTCTTTGAGTTGGGGTCCATCCTAAGGACCACATCTCATTCCATTCCATATTTCAAGACCTTGTCTCCAAATACAGTTACCCTGTTAGATGAGGCCACACTCTTCTAGGTTTTGAGGAGATACATAACAGCAAGTATATATCTCAAACGAGCTGCATGAGAATTCAGTTAGGTAAAGCATGCAGGGAAACATCTTTAGGAAGTGCCTGACATTCAAATTCATTAAATGCTTCTGCTGCTGCTGCTGCTGCTGCTGCTGCTGTTGTTACTATTGCTGCTACTGCTGCTACTATTACTCTTGTTTTAAAGGAAGTTGTTCAACACATTCTGTATCTGCTATAAAAGAGTCTGTGTGTTTATAAAGGAGAGAAAAGGCTTCCTGTACCTTTATTTCCTTTCACGATGCCTCCTCAGCACTTGGTTTTCTGGGCATGGTCATTCCCAAAGGCTGAGATATGATAGTCAAAGGAGAAGCATTTCAGTTCCTGGCTTTAAGCAGTGTTTATATGCCGTTTAAAGGGAGACTGCCTATCTCTCTGAAATGCTTGTTTTCAAGACATTCTGGAGTCATAGTTTCCAGTTTGGCAGTCTGGGCTTTGATTTTCATGGGACACCTTTGACAAGCTTAGTTTCTTCCCCACAACTCCTGAAAACCAGAATTCCGTGTTTGTTGAAAAACCAAGGAAAAAGAGATTCATTTACACATTTCACTTGCCCAGCTAGCACCAGAAATTCTGTTGGAAAAGACTCCAGAATTCCTATAGGGAAACACAGAGTATTTTTAAAAAAATGGATCTAAAGCATCCTAATAGTGTCCATTTATTCCATCTTGAGCAGCCATGTGTCTCTGTGTTTGCCAACTTTTGTTACAATTTTGTACCAATTCCTGGTTAAAGCTGGCTGCAGCATTGTCTGTGGTTATAAACATAAATAGTTAAAAGGCTCGTTTGGAGCTCTGATAGTTTACTAAACAACAGTAGTAACTTCATTCTTAGGGCCTAAGACCACCTCAGCCATGGGATTTTGATGGGTTTTACAGAGCCAGGCTTCTCCTCTGAACAGTCAGTAATGGAACAGGAAGGAGCTCATGGGATCCCACCCATCCCTGCTGAACTACCAGGGTCCTGAGAAAGAAAGGTCATTGTCTTCAGCTGTGTATCCATGAAAGACCCCGTCAGGCTCCAGACACCAATAGTGGTTCCAAACATATCAACATGCAGAGGATCCTGGTTTAACTCAATGAATCTAAAAAAAAAAAATCAAAAAAACAATGAAGACATAAGAGAGAGGATAGATGGGGGGAGGAGGGAGAGGCTGGAGGAGTCGCTGTAATCAGAATGTGCTTCATTCAAGTATGAAATTGTCAACAAATTCAGTGGAAGTTTTTTAAAAGATTTATTCCACAATGTTAATAGCAGTTTTCCCAAACTGCTGCCTCTTGAACTACCCATTGGCCAGTAAATCAGCAGACAAATGGAATACGGCTCAGCAATAAGAGGAAACAAATCACTGTCACAAAGCTCAGCAGAGATGAAGGTCAAGGGCACAGAGTGAATGAAGCGAAGCAGACGGGGAAGTGTGAACACTGTAGAATCACAGTCATGTGAAGTTTTTCAGAGTGAGGCTGCTCTGTGGGGCTAGAAATCAGGGCCGTGGTTACATGGGGAGAGATGTTCTCTATATGTTGGGGGTATAAACACACATACTGTACTTTTTTGTGACTCATTAAGTTACAGATTTTGTGTGGGTACATTTTATAGCCTAGAAGCTGAACTTCAAAACTTCTGCTGAAAAGTCAATTACTGAATAAAAGACCATTCAACTAAAATAGAAGAAAATATATCTTCTCGTGGTCACAGGGTGAGGGATTAAAAAGCCTTTGACTTTTCACACTGGGACATGTGTCCTGTCTCCCAGACAGCCTACATCTAACTCACAGATGCAGTGAAATGTCCCACTTTGAAGAAGTCCTCTCTTCCTCTGAAGTAATTCACTGTTGCTTCTCACAAGGGACG